GTAAGTATTCTTCATTATAATAGGCATATATATATATATATATAGTCAATTTAATTATCCTTAAATATTATGACCAATGATTGTGGGTGATGTATATTGAAATTATCCATTTTTCTCCCTATCTCTCTTGGTCATCCAGACCCGCCGGGTAAACCGGTTATCCATGGATACAAGACAGGCGAAGTGCTGAGGGCGGGGGAGCGTCGAACCCTTACCTGTCGGGTCCTGGGCGGCAACCCTCGGCCCTGGGTGACCTGGTACTGGCACGGCCTGCCCCTCAACCACACGGCCAAGAGCAAGTCCAGGAAGAGCGTGTACCTCAAGGCCAAGGCCACCAGCAGGAAGGGCAAGAAGACCCGCGGGGTCAGCGTCACGCAGCAGGTGACGGCGTCGCGGACGGAAGACGGCGCGGTGTATGAGTGTCGCGTCTCCAGCGACCTCCTCCAGCGACCTCTCACCACCAATGTCACCCTCACCGTGCACTGTAAGTCACTCTCCTTCACTGTGCACTGTAAGTCAACCCCCTCACCGTGCACTGTAAGTCAACCCCCCTTCACTGTGCACTGTAAGTCACTCTCCTTCACTGTGCACTGTAAGTCAACCTCCTTCACTGTGCACTGTAAGTCCACCCCCTTCACTGTGCACTATAAGTCAACCCCTTTCACTGTGCACTGTAAGTCAACCCCCTTCACTGTGCACTGTAAGTCAACCCCCTTCACTGTGCACTGTAAGTCACCCCTTCTCTGTGCACTGTAAGTCAACCCCTTCACTGTGTACTGTAAGTCACTCCCTCCTCACTGTTCACTGTAAGTCACTCCCCCTTCACTGTGCACTGTAAGTCAACCCCACCTCACTGTGCACTGTAAGTCACTCCCCCTTCACTGTAAGTTCTTACCGTATAATAGGTCTTCACTCTATAGTGTGGGTAACCTTGTCATTATATACTGTCCACATTACACTGTAACTTCCCCCCCTCCCCTCCTCCAACTCACCCCCTCCCCCACACCACTACCCACACCATCATTGCACAGTAAGCCGTCATCACACTGACAACAGCACGTTGTCATCACAGCACTGACAGCCGTCCTCTGCAGTTTCCTTCGTTACTCTGCAAGTTGTCCTCAGTACGCTGTAACTGATCCTACACCTGTAGAGTGTAAGTCAGCCTTAGGTTCACAAGGCAACGTTCGGGGCTGCTAGTTCAGTGTTCGTGGCACAAACTGAACTAAAGAATACATGAAATACTACGAAATCAAGATCTCTCTCTCTCTCTCTCTCTCTCTCTCTCTCTCTCTCTCTCTCTCTCTCTCCCCTCTCTCTCTCTCTCTCTCTCTCTCTCTTTAAAACGACGCAATTTGCTGCGTCTTTGTTACGCGTTAAGGAATACAAGAAAGTGTGTTGGCATGTCTTGGCCAAAGTTCCCTATAGTGCCTGGACTCACGACATGGAAAATGTTGGGCTCTCACAACAACGTCGCACTTGAGAAAGGTCTGAATGTTCGTTGATAAGGCTGGGCGACACACACACACACACACACACACACACACACACACACACACACACACACACACACACACACACACACATACACAAACACACACACACACACACACACACACACACACACACACACACACACACACACACACACACACACACACACACACACACACACACACACAGGTACCTGCCATGCGAGTGAGGTCTCCTCCAGAGACACTGGACTGAGAACAACCACAGCTAACAGAGAAAGGGACATGGAGTCGTGTCCCCAGAGACCGGACGGAACAAAGGCTGTGGGACCCGACAAGATCTCACCCCTGGAACCTGTATGAAGCCGCTGACATCTTGAAACAAAGCGTTCGGAATGACCTGCAGTGAAACAAAGCGTTCGGAACGACCTGCAGTGAAACAAAGCGTTCGGAACGACCTGCAGTGAAACAAAGCGTTCGGAACGACCTGCAGTGAAACAAAGCGTTCGGAACGACCTGCAGTGAAACAAAGCGTTCGGAACGACCTGCAGTGAAACAAAGCGTTCGGAACGACCTGCAGTGACTCACTGCAGGTAGTACCGTCAAAGCCAGAGGAAGTCACACTTAATTCTCTTATACACACAGGAGCCAAGAAACTATAGATCAGTGTGTCTAACAAGCATAACATACAAAGTACTATCGTGAACAATATGAAAGGAAAAGTAAGTTAATGACCTGGAGAAAACACTAAACAAGTATGACTACATCGAGCTCCGATGGGATATGTGGCAAGAGTAAGAGCTGGGAAGTGTAGACACACGACAGGCTGGGATATGTGGACAGACGACAGGCTGAGATGGATAGACAGACGACAGGCTGGGATATGTGGACAGACGACAGGCTGGGATATGTGGACAGACGACAGGCTGGGATATGTAGACAGACGACAGGCTGGGATATGTGGACAGACGACAGGCTGGGTTATGTGGACAGACGACAGGCTGGGATATGTAGACAGACGACAGGCTGGGATATGTAGACAGACGACAGGATGGGATATGTGGACAGACGACAGGCTGAGATGGATAGACAGACGACAGGCTGGGATATGTAGACAGACGACAGGCTGTGATGTGTAGACAGACAACAGGCTGGGAATCACTGCCGACATTGGGAATCGACTGCCGACTTTGCAAGAAGCAAGGCTGCCAACCTGTCTAAGTCAGTTCTAATATGTCCAATGAACGGCACATCATCACCGCCATACACAAAGCTAGCGATCATCCGAGTGGCTTCCATGAATTCTACCAAAGAGTCACTTAAGGCGCTGTACACTACCTAGGTGAATCCACCCCACGCCACGCGAGGCGTAGTTCTCGCTTAAGGAAGCGCAAGATGAAACTTGAGAAAGTTTCTGAGATGCGTCGTAAGGTATCTAAAATGAGAGAGTATTGGAATTTGAGGAAATGCTGACGGAGCGTCGTCGTACTGCATTCGAAAAGTTATGGGAAAGCTTAGATATGTTAATATTTAAGTTCGTTAAAGCTTTAACGAAGAAAAGTACGAAATGTTTAGTACATAAAAACCGTAGAGAGTGACGTCATGAGTGAAAGCTTTAGACTCAGATGAGCCATAGAGATGTTAGGAAGCAGTTCTTTACCTTTAAGGGTAGTTAGGGAACATATAACGAGCTAAGAGAGCAAGCTGTCCATTCATAGGTTTAGATTAGATGTGATTATGTGGCGGGTCAGAAGCCGTTATAACTAACTTATAAGCTCTTCCCTTATATAACCCTGAAGTTTGATAGTGCCTCAGTCAGTGTTCTCAGACATGTGCCTCCTCTCTCTCTCTCTCTCTCTCTCTCTCTCATTACGGGCTATTCATGCCCGTGCCCCCTCTTGGGTGGTTTAATCTTCATCAATCTCTCTCTCACACCGTAGATGCGCCTGCGCAGGTCAGGGTGAGCGGGTCGACGGTTGTGGCCGCGGGGGAAGAGTTCTCCCTCACCTGTGTCTCCTCTCCCGCCAACCCCCCGGCCTCCATCACCTGGCTCGTGGACGGTAGGTGTCTCTCTCTCTCTCTCTCTCTCTCTCTCTCTCTCTCTCCCTCTCTCTCTCTCTCTCTCTCTCTCTCTCTCTCTCTCTCTCTCTCTCTCTCTCTCTCTCTCTCTCTCTCTCTCTCTCTCTCTCTCTCTCTCTCTGCAAGTACAGTGTACATTGCGGGAGAAAGTTTTCATCACTGGCAATGTATGCTTCAATGAACGATATTATTTTACAATAGTTTCTAAATAAATTAAATTTGACTTAAAAACAAATATGCAAAATACACATAAGACGTTTCTAAAGATTTTCAATTACCATTATTCAACCCAAACATACACGATCCAGCAGGCCATTTCAATATCCAGTAACAGCTCAATTCGCCCCTTGTTAACGTGCAAAACAAATATACATTCGAACTATTTATATTCGCTTCAGTATAACCCATGATATAAATCATTCACACACCACTCGCCCCCTCTTAATCTCCCACAACGTGACCCTGATACGATGTTGTCGTCTTCAAGGCGCCCAGGTTAACACGACGACGACGAGAGAGAGCAAGGACGAGGGCGGAGGGTGGGTGACCACGTCGCTGCTGACGCAGGAGGCGGCGAGGTCAGGCCAGGTGAGAGAGATGGTGGTCACGTGTCAAGCCCACCACCTGGAGGCTGGGGAAGCCATCTCCCACACCCGCAGCATCACTGTCATCCGTGAGTTGTTGACCTCCTTCCAGGCGTTCTTGAAAGATTTTAAGATACAGGGGGGAAAAAATGTACTTTTCATCCGTCTGCCTATACGACCGTTTGTTATTTTGATTTAAGGCACACTACGGTGTACAATATATGTGTCTTCCTGTTACAGGGGCTCCAGGGGCACCGGTGATAGAGGTGCAGGCCAGGGGTCAGGTGGTGGCAGGGACGAACCTGGACGTCTCCTGCACCAGCAAGGGAGGTCATCCGCCACCTCAGTTCAGGTAGGTGCTCACGCATGGGGTTGTGAGGGAGTCCTGGACTTGTGAGGGAGTCCTTGGACTTGTGAGGGAGTCCTGGACTTGGGAGGGAGTCCTTGGACTTGTGAGGGAGTCCTTGGACTTGTGAGGTAGTGCTGGACTTGTGAGGGTAGTCCTTGGACTTGTGAGGTAGTGCTGGACTTGTGAGGGGTAGTCCTTGGACTTGTGAGGTAGTGCTGGACTTGTGAGGTGGTCCTTGGACTTGTGAGGTAGTCCTGGACTTGGGAGAAAGTTCTGGACTTCTGAGGAAGTCCTGTTTAAAGCTGTTTATTGTAGCCATGTCTTCTACCTTGGCAAAAAAAATGCAATTTCTTTTACTGTCATTTTCTCCAGAATTCTTGTATTTTCGTTCCAAAAAACACGAACATATTTGAGTGACATTTTAAAAGTTTTTATATTTAAATGCAGAATACGAATTCGCGGTTATTAAATAATTAAGTCAATTGATTATAAAAACAAATCAACCTGACAAACTCTATACAAAAAGAATGTCTGTCCTAGCTTGAAGGCCAGATGCTTATGGTTAGTCTCACTCAACTTTGCAGGGTGAAGCATGTGAAGTAGGATAGTGTCATAGGCCAGTCGGGGCGGAAAGCCTTGTGAGTGGCGGGAAAGCAGGTACAGCAGGAGATGTGTGAGTAAGTCAGAGGGTGTTAGCACCATAGTGCGCGCGAACTGCAGTCGAATCTCTGCTTCGCAGCATCCGACTTATCCCTGGTCTTCCAGTGGGAACCGGCTACTCTACACCAGAGAGAGAGAGAGAGAGAGGGGGAGAGAGAGGGGGAGAGAGAGAGAGAGAGAGAGAGAGAGAGAGAGAGAGAGAGAGAGAGAGAGAGAGAGAGAGAGAGAGAGAGAGAGAGAGAGAGAGAGAGAGAGAGAGAGAGAGAGAGAGAGAGAGAGAGAGAGAAAGAGCGACAGACCCGATCCTGGGTTCACTCACGAGAAGTAGCTGCGTCTCTGCCTGAAAAAAGATGGTGGTGGTTGCACGTAAAAGATACCTGCCACCTTACACCAAATCGTCAAGGCACTGACACAGATCCAGTGCCACACTTTAAGAAATATCGACATCAAAAACACCCTCTCCTCGCACACCGTGCGAGTTTCATCAAGTGAAATATTGGTTGTATTGTCCATAGACTTATACCTGACACAGAAAGAGGAATGGAGACTAATGCAGATGTACCTAATATGTTAATAAAAAAAAAAAAGAATGGAGAGTGGGGAGAGAGAGAGAGAAGAAGGATTAAGAAGATGGAAAGCTTGAAGGCTGAAGGCATATACGTCTTCTCTTTCGTATATGATATATACGAAGGAGAGGACGAATTGGGGGAAGGAGGACCAAGGGGATGAGAAGGAGGAGTCAAGTAGAGAGGAGAGGTCACGGGAAAAAGAGGTGGAAGATGAGAGAGAGGGAAAAAGAAGAGAGGTGGAATGTTGTGTCAGGGGGAGGGATAGATTATCCCGGACACTGCCGGGTAATCACTCTAGTAATTTATATCAAAACGATAGTTGGAACTACATTTTTTTTTTTACCTCGAATTACATTTACTAAATTAAGTTCCACATTTGAATCGAGAAAGGTCCCCATAAAGTACTTAATGTAAAGTTTAATTGTGTATATAGTTTAATGGCAGACGTTTTAGTATTTGGGATTATCTTATAGATTTTAATAGTGTGAATATGACAACATAATAGTGATTTTAGTTGGATAAATATTGCACCATTAATTTTTATTTTTACTATGAATATGGCACCATGGAACCATTATGGCACCATAATAAATATTTTAAGAGAAGAAAACGGGTTGCTTAGAGATCTTTGGTATAGCACTAAACACTATATGGTAGGTGATTGACTTCCATGGTCTCACTTTATATTTCTCTCTCTCTCTCAGGATATACAAGGGCGGGGACCAGGAGCTGGAGACAGAGACCCAGACCAGCGGGAACACGAGCCGCGCCCGTGCCTCCTTCAGGGCAGCACCAGCCGACAATGGCGCCCATCTGACCTGCGCGGTGACCAACCCGGCCTTGGCCACGCCACTTGTCGTTAATACCACCCTCAGCTTGCTGTGTGAGTGCTCTCTCTCTCTCTCTCTCTCTCTCTCTCTCTCTCTCTCTCTCTCTCTCTCTCTCTCTCTCTCTCTCTCTCTCTCTCTCTCTCTCTCTCTCTGTCTCTCTCTCTCCCGCTGACCACATCTTTCTCTCCCACAGTCGCGCCGTGGGAGGTGCGTGGGACGGCCAGCCCACAGAGCGTGGAGGCGGGCCAAGTGGTCAAGTTGACCTGTGAGACCTCGGCCAGTGTGCCAGCCTCCAGCGTCACCTGGCACTCCCGGGCACACCTGCTGGGGGACCCCTACGTCAGACACTCTCTTGGGCTCTTCGGCGGCACCGTCACCAGGTACGCTATGACACTGTGTATTCACCAAGATAAACGACTCCACACCATTGCTATCACCTGAAGCCCATGTAAATAGGATAACATTAGCGAACAGCTGGAACATTTAGGAACAGCCTTCAGGAACCATACCTGGAGGAGGTAATGAGGCTGATTCCATACCTGGAGGACATAATGAGACTAACACCATTGACAGCTTCACACATAGGTACGTTAAAGCGTAAGAGGTTCGTAGGAGTGAGAGACTCTGAAAGTCAAGGCACCAGATAGCCCGTAGCTAGAGTGTGGGGCCCAGGAGCTGAAGCTGACCCCTCCATAAGCCCCACACTCGGCCGGCAAATATTCATGTCTCCTTTTGTTGGTATGCTCCATATTTTTTTCGGGGGGGGGGGGGGAGGACAGAGAAGTACTTTAGCTGGATATTAGCAGAGAATTCGTCAACTAGCTAAATATTGCTTCAGTATACACGCATACGAACACATACAGACGCATTATATATATATATATATATATATATATATATATATATATATATATATATATATATATATATATATATATATATATATATATATATATCTGTGTGTTGTGTGTGTGTGGGTGTGTGTGTGTGTGTGTGTGTCTGTACTCACCTATTTGTGCTTGCAGGATCGAGCATTGACTCTTGGATCCCGCCTTTCTAGACATCGGTTGTTTACTGCAATAACTCCTGTTCCATTTCCTTATCATATCTAGTTTTAAAATTATGAATAGTTTGCTTCCACAACCTGTTCCTTAAGTGCATTCCATTTTTCCACTACTCTCACGCTAAAAGAATACTTTTTAACATCTCTGTGACTCATCTGAGTTTCCAGCTTCCACCCATGTCCCCTCGTTCTGTTATTATTGCGTGAGAACATTTCATCTATCTCCACTTTGTCAATTCCCCTGAGTATTTTATATGTTCCTATCATATCCCCTCTCTCCCTTCTTTTTTCTAGTGTCGTAAAGTTCAGTTCTTTCAGGCGCTCTTCATATCCCATCCCTCATAACTCTGGGACAAGCCTCGTTGCAAACTTCTGAACCTTTTCCAGTTTCCTTATGTGTTTCTTCAGGTGGGGACTCCATGATGAGGCGGCATACTCTAAGACTGGTCTCACGTAGGCAGTGTACAGCGCCCTAAAAGCCTTCTAACTTAGGCTTCTGAATGAAGTTCTCATTTTCGCCAGTGTAGAGTACGCTGCTGTCGTTATCCTATTTATATGCGCCTCAGGAGTTAGGTTAGGTGTTACGTCCACTCCCAGGTATCTTTCTCGTTACAGGTAGGCAGTTCCCTTTCATTGTGTACTGTCTCTTTGGCCGCCTATCACCTGATCCCATTTCCATAACTTTACATTTACTCGTGTTGAACTCCAGTAGCCATTTCCCTGACCATCTCTGCAACCTGTCCAGGTCCTCTTGGAGAATCCTACAATCCTCATCTGTCACAACTCTTCTCATTAATTTTGCGTCATCCGCGAACATTGACATGTAGGATTCCAGTCCTGTAAACATATCATTTACGTAAATAAGAAAGAGGATTGTGTGTGTGTGTGTGTATGTGTGTGTGTGTGTACTCACCTAATTGTACTTACCTACTTGTGCTTGCGGGGGTTGAGCTTTGTCTCTTTGGTCCCGCCTCTCAACTGTCAATCAACTGGTGTACAGATTCCTGAGCCTACTGGGCTCTATCATATCTACATTTAAAACTGTGTATGGAGTCAGCCTCCACCACATCTCTGCCTAATACATTCCACCTGTTAACTACTCTGACACTGAAAAAGTTCTTTCTAACGTCCCTGTGGCTCATTTGGGTACTCAGGTTCCACCTGTGTCCCCTTGTTCGCGTACCGCCAGTGCTAAATAGTGTTGTGTGTGCGCGCGCGCGTGTGTGTGTGTGTGTGTGAAAAAAAAATAGTAGTTAGTAACAGTTGATTGATTGACAGTTTAGAGGCGAGCCGAAAGAGCAGAGCTCAACCCTCGCAAGCACAACTAGGTGAATACATATATATATACACACACACATGCAGTATAAAATCTGGGATATGAACCAAAGTCACAGCTGTGATATGGAAATGTAGACTCCAGACCCACCCATCTTTTACTGACCATCTGTCCTCGCTCCCTTAGGCGCATTGCTTTTATAGTCTAACAAAAGTATGCCAATAAAAGTAAAACAGTCAGGTACTATATATATATATATATATATATATATATATATATATATATATATATATATATATATATATATATATATATATAATATGTATGTATGTATGTATGTATGTATGTATGTATGTATGTACTGGCCCCCAATATCCACGAGTAGCGATAATTCAACGTCGATTCGACGTTGAATTAACGTTACTCTTGGATAGTGTGCCCACGTCAGGTGCGGGGGGGATTTTAAGACGTCCCAAGACGTCCTTAAAACTCCAGTATAACAAAGAAGAGAGCCGCGACGCAGCCGCCGCGGACCGACCGCCACAATGACGCTAAGTGACCCACCAACTCCAGCAGGAGAAATCTTCCTTAGCAGTAAAGTCCGGCGTCTGTCCCTGCTCCTGAGAGTATTTTCTCACCCCGCCCCAACTTTTCCTGCCTCCCGCTGAATAAACAACCCACAAGGGGATGGCGGCCTTGTAAAAAAAGATGTTCAGTGGCTGGTGGGAGGATATTTCTCTCTCTCCGGAAGGTGATAGGTATTGTCCCTTGGGTGAGATGGTTGCTGAAGCAGGTTGCTGAGGCAAGTGGGCTTCTGGATGGTTAGATATATATATAGACAAAAGGTTAGGTAGATATTATGTGGCGGGGGGAAAGGTATAAGTATTGGGGAATACTGTTTTGCCTGTCGTATTTTGTATGATTTTTACTTAGATTTTTTCTGGAACAATGGGATCGTAGGTGTTATATGAACGACTATTAGGTATCTCGGGGTTTTACAAGTTGAATGTCCTCTCTCTCTCTCTCTCTCTCTCTCTCTCTCTCTCTCTCTCTCTCTCTCTCTCTCTCTCTCTCTCTCTCTCTCTCTCTCTCTCTCTCTCTCATGTTCTCATTTACCTCTTACCCCAAACATAATTATCTTCACAGGTCAGAGGTCAAGATAAGAACAGAGGCGGAAGACAATGGGCAAGAGGTCACCTGCAGGGCTGAGAATGGTCTGGGCATCTCCGTCACCGGCAACATCACCCTCGAGGTCCTCCGTAAGTGTTTGAAGAGTAGCACTTGTCACTTGATCTTCCTTCAGTTACTGACCCCTAAGATGCCTGGGTCCATCAACACTCTTAAGAGTCATTGACGTCTCCTTCTCCTAGTTTCCTCGAGTCCTTGACAGTCAAGATTTCTTTGTCATATTTGAGCCCCTTGTATTTTCCTTTTTTCCTTGTTTTTTTTCTTTATTAACGTCTCAAGAGCTTCCAGACGCTGACGGTACCAGTTCTTCGGTGCTACTGGGAGCAGCACCCTCCATCATCCTCAGTTCTGAGTATTGTATATTTTATTGATTTCATTTATTCCCAGTTCCAGTTTACGTAAGTATACCTCATAATTTTCACGTGCTTTGATAACTGTATTTGGGTATTTCCTTTCTGGAAATATATATATAACGCATTCGTATTCCTTTGCCTCGTTACGTGTTACGAATTTTCGTGTCCCCGCTACGCGTTCGTGTGTACAACCCTCACACGCTCTCCCGTTACAACTGTACAGTTGGAAAAAAAAAGAGGATCGACTTCAATTTCAAAGACAGTGACAAATAATAAAATTAAAAGTAAATACACTATGGTTCTCACGAGCATTCAGCTCATGGTGTCTTATGTCGTATCTTGAGCCCTCCGTTCTCTCTCTCTCTCTCTCTCTCTCTCTCTCTCTCTCTCTCTCTCTCTCTCTCTCTCTCTCTCTCTCTTTCTCTGTGTGTGTTCTTTCCTTCCCTGTGCGTGTGTTTTGGTGCTCCGTTGATCCAGGGGAGCGATGGACGACCCAAAGCCTCATGTGTCTCGCATTTAAAAGCCGATTTGGCAGAACAAATCATGTTTGTGTTGTGTTGCGGGGCTGCGGGGCGGTGGTTTCTTGGCTTCAGCTACTGAAGAAATGTGATGTAAGGTTTCTCGCGGTTTTCTTCTTCCTCCGCCAGCTCCGGAAAAGGTAGGAAAGGAAAGGTTGAGAAAAGGAAAGCTCGGGGAAAAGTGAAGAGCGGGAAAGAAAAGTACGGGAAATAGAACTGTGGAAAGGAAATTGTGGGATAGAAAATTACACAAAAGGGAAAACATTGTAGTGGAAGAGAAAGAGTGGGAAAATTGAGGAATGGGTAGGGCAAAGAAAAGACAATGGAAATGGAAAAAAATATATTGCATAATTAGGGTAGAATACAGAAAGGGATATGGAAGGGGGTGTAAAGGAAGAGACATGGAAGAAAGGGGGAGAGGGAAAGGGGTGGGAGGGAAAGGGGGGAGAAGCAAGGAAGTGGCAGTTTAATGACATATGAAAGGAAAAGAATAATAATTAAAGTGATATGAAATTATATAACCTTCGAACGGAAATCAAAGCATCGATATGATACGCGGTATCGACTCTTGGTTCCAAGTATATCCCTCCAGATACCTTTAGAACCAGGAGGTATACCTTTTAGATATGTCTGGAACCTGGTACCCGGAGCGGTACCTGGTATCCCTTCCTTTCTTCCTTCGTTGATAACGCCTTCCTCCCAGTCGAAATCAAGCAACGTAGAAGCCTGCTCGGAGACGTTTATTGAACCAATGCCCGTTGTTGGCACTCCCGATCTGCGACAACGGATAAGAGGACCCCGACTAAACTTACTACGCACACTCTCTAGATGGACCACGCACTTCCTCTGGATAATCTCCCTTGAAATTATAGGTCCAGAAGGCTTTTTATTTGAGAGGTTTTATTTTTAGTTTATATGTGAATTGTACCATGCTCTTTTTAGGGAAATCTTAACAGAAAATGATTAATGAAATTTGTTTTACAAACGATAAAACGGCATTATTTAAAATGTTGAATACAGCATTATAGTTCCCTAGTGATATTGTTGTAGTTCCCAGGTGGTATTGTAGTTCCCAGGTGGTATTGTAGTTCCCTTTGAGGTATTGTAGTTCCCAGGTGGTATTGTAGTTCCCTTTGAGGTATTGTAGTTCCCAGGTGGTATTGTAGTTTCAATATAGTTTTCTGGCTATTTAGTGGTATTTTTTAAATGGGGGGAAGGGATATATTATTTTAAAATCTCTTTCGTAATAAAAAAAAAAAATATGTCATACGTTGAGCATAATTAGGGTGAAAAACTATGGCTTTTAATTACACTTAAAGAACATATGGTAGCATGGGCGTTATCAATAAAGATGTTTATTTACGTTGAAGGAACGCCTCCAGAGACGCGCCACCATTCACAATATTAGTGTCATTTAACAATAGTATTTACTTATTAATAATGAAGGGAATGTTAGCATCTATTGTTGATTATTTTGTTGATATTAATTCGATTCAGTTCGTTGTTTAAGGTGTTTTGCCCCAGTTATTAATTTTTTATATATATAGTTTTGGAAGGGAAGCTTCTTTGTTTTTATATTGTACTAACTGTACCCGGCCACGCGTTGCTGTGGCCTAGCAACGCGTGCACGTTGTTGAGCCACAGCAACCCTCCCCTCTCCCCTCTCCCCTCGTCCCCACCATTCCCTCTCTCCCCCTGTCCCCTTGTCCTCCCCACCATTACCCCCTCCCCCCGTCCTCTCGTCCTCCCCACTCCCTTGTCCAATGCGTTCCCAAATGATCTGATGTTGCCATCACTGAAAAATAAGTAGAACAGTTAAAAAAACAAAATAAAAAAAATGACAAAATATACAAAAATAAACTATACTCACAAAATAAACACTATGGTAAACAACACAGCTCTATTCCAACGCAATGTCACACAAAATAATTAAATCAAAATGAAGATAAATCGAAATTTATGAAAATTCCATTTATCAATGCAATTGGAAACATCGGAATGGAATTATAACATATTTAGTATTGCATGTGTTGCTATTACGTGCAACAGGTGGTGCTGTTTTTCAAAAAATGCATGTTTTAACCTGTCACAGGTGTGTGGCATTTATATAGTAGGTATACAAAAACACACACGTATTCAAATGGAACGTTATGTCAAAATTTCAAAGCAATCAGTGAAGAAATTTCGGAGATTACAGCGTGTGTTGCTCTTACATCCAACTGATGGTATTGTTAAAAAAAAATGTTTTTTCCTGTCACAGGTGAGGCATGTATATAGTAGGTATATAAAAACACGCGCCTATTCAAATGCAACGTTGTGTCAAAATTTCAAAGCAATCCGTAAAGAGGTTTCGAAAATTTCCATCACATGAAAAACACAGTTTTTTAAAAAGAGCATGTTTTTTTCCCGTCACAGACGTGACATCTATATAGTATGTATATTAAAACCCGCTCGGATGCGAATGGAACGTTGTGTGAAAATTGCAAAGCAATCGGTGAAGACCTTTCGGTGATTAGCGATTTTGAACAAACGAACATTTACATTTTTATTTATATAGACATGCTATTCATTAAATTTTTTTGAGCATTTATATATTTATAACTGAACGAAACATAGGAATTGCATTTTTTATTTATTTTACGAACCCCGATCCAATTTTTCATCAAATTTCACATATGAGAGATTTTATATTTGGTGTTATCTTTGAACGTGGGCGAGTAGAAGCGCAAATTAAAGGGGGAAATTTTAATGTTTTATGACCTGCAATATTGAGAACGATATATGCTGTGTTCGGTGGTGCTGGTCCCTCCCCTCGGTGTGCTGGTCCCTCCCCTCGGGGTGCTGCCCCTCCCCTCGGTGTGCTGGCCCTCCCCTCGGTGTGCTGCCCCTCCCCTCGGTGTGCTGCCCCTCCCCTCGGGGTGCTTCCCCTCCCCTCGGTGTGCTGCCCCTCCCCTCGGTGTGCTGGCCCTCCCCTCGGTGTGCTGGCCCTCCCCTCGGTGTGTTGCCCCTCCCCTCGGTGTGCTGGTCCCTCCCCTCGGTGTGCTGGCCCTCCCCTCGGTGTGCTGGCCCTCCCCTCGGTGTGTTGCCCCTCCCCTCGGTGTGCTGCCCCTCCCCTCGGTGTGCTGGCCCTCCCCTCGGTGTGCTGGCCCTCCCCTCGGTGTGCTGCCCCTCCCCTCGGTGTGCTGGTCCCTCCCCTCGGTGTGCTGGTCCCTCCCCTCGGTGTGGGGTGCTGGCACGGTCGGGTTTCAGCTCCTGTGCCGGCCACCCTTTTGTTTTTACTGTGAAGAGTTTAATGTTTACATTATGCGTCACTTTATCGGTAGAGCGACGGCCTCACAAGATCGGTATTCGAGCCTAGACGAGCTAAGTGGTTTGGCATCTTTTCTTTCCCCCGTCCTCACATTCTAGCTCCTTGTTCCCCATATCACTTCAAGTGGTATAAAATCAGAGCTACAGCGTTTTCTCCTGATAATTATATCCCATCTTCTCTCAGTCGCCATTTGTTTCCTTCCTGAAAGGTATTCTCTGGATCCAACATATACACCAGCCTGCTTCATAAGGATGAAATCCGAGTCTTTGTCTTAGAGTCTGAGTTTCTGAGAGTTTGTGGATCTGTGAGACAGTGTGCCTGTGACTTGAGAGTCTGTGAGTCTGATGGTCTGTGGGTAGTGTGTCTGTGTACTCACCTAATTGTACTCACCTAATTGTGCTTGCGGGGGTTGAGCTTTGGCTCTTTGGTCCCGCCTCTCAACTGTCAATCAACTGGTGTACAGATTCCTGAGCCTATTGGGCTCTATCATACCTACATTTGAAACTGTGTATGGAGTCAGCCTCCACCACATCACTTCCTAGTGCATTCCATTTATTAACTACTCTGACACTGAAAAAATTCTTTCTAACGTCTCTGTGGCTCATCTGGGTACTAAGTTTCCACCTGTGTCCCCTTGTTCGTGTCCCACCCGTGCTGAAGAGTTTGTCTTTGTCCACCCTGTCAATTCCCCTGAGGATTTTGTAGGTGGTTATCATGTCTCCCCTTACTCTTCTGTTTTCCAGGGATGTGAGGTTCAGCTCCTTTAGCCTTTCCTCGTAGCTCAATCCTCTCAGTTCCGGGACGAGCCTGGTGGCATACCGCTGAATCTTCTCTAACTTTGTCTTGTGTTTAACTAGGTATGGACTCCAGGCTGGAGCTGCATACTCCAG